ATTATAGGAAAATTCGGCGAAATTTCGTCTTTCAGAATATATATGGCTTTTTAGAAAACAGTCTTATTTCAAAAGATTTGTCAAGAAGAGATTCATGGTTTAACATATATAACCCAGTTTTTAGTTTTATTTTAGAGCTCTGAATGAGGGTAAATTTTTATCCGACTAGATTTTTATGTTTGATTGATATGTTGAGAAAAGCGAGATTTAGTTTCGTGAGATAACCTTTTCGATCTATTTTCATTCGTGATGTGAAGTCGATTACCTTGACAAGTTTGAAATAAAAAATAGATTGATCATTCATGTTTAAAATCTTAGTTCCTAAATAATTCTCAGCTAAAGTAAGTGAATAAACAAACATAGATAAGTTTTATTTTATATATATGAATATTAATAAGAATGTAATTTGTATGTGTAAATAGAAATAATTTATTTGTTTAGATAAAATGATAAATACATTAGAAAGTCTAGTAAAAGAAACTCTTCTTAATATATTATCGAATTTAATATGGTTTGAAATGATAGAATCGTTTTGGTCAATTAATAAACGTTTTAATTCTCTTATTTGTTCAATATATTCAATGAATTATGATGAAATTATTATTAGTGAAACAGATTTATCTTTAAATAAATGTCAATCAATATTATGACGAATAATTTCTAATTCAACTCTTTCTGCTTCTATACAACGAATTCATGTTGATGGAGCAAAATCAGTTTTTTTTAATGTTATATCTCAATGGATTTTTCAAGAAAAATTTATTCGTTTTGCTAATTTAAAATCAATTATTCTTAGTCGATGTTATCTAATAGAAACATTAATTAACAATTTATCTTCACTTGTTCAATATCAATTGGATGAATTAACATTGAAAATTGATAAAGATACTTTTGAAATATTTTACTATACACAGAAATCTTGAATATATAATGGTAAAGAAGATAAGTTTAAATTTTTTGTCAAATAATTCATTATATCAATATCTTTTCTTTATTTTAATTATATAGTTCGAAAATTCACAACAATATACAATCAATTTATATGTCAACTTTTTTCTTCTAAATGTCAATTAACTACACTTCAACTTGATATTTCTAAAGATAACTCTGTTTTTCAAATCCATAAATGTCTTTCATCATCTTCTGACATTATTTCAAATCTAATCGACGACAATCAACTTGTTACTAAATGTATAACTCTTCGTCGTTTACACGTTCATCTTATTTTTCATTATTTTATTGAACATGTACCTGCTCTTGAAATTCTCAGTTATATTCAGAGATTCATTGGCTCGTGAATGGGTAAAACTGATGAAGATTGAAAAAGTTTACGTCAACTGTTATCAATTGGTATGATAAGGTAAAATAAATGAAACATACTGTAACGATTGTTTAATATAAGAAAATAGATTCTCCGTATTTAGATCTCGCCAAACGAACGATTGCTTCTGTTCAAGATCAACAAATTCATTTTACGTGTGCCAGATTAACCTCTCACGTTAATTTTTGAACGACCGATATTTCACTATTTTCTTGTAGAAAAAGAAACGATATATCTCGCGACTATTCAAAAGGCAAAATATTGATGCCTGATGCATTTTCTTAACTTAAATAGATTATTAGAGTGTAAGGTGATATTTGAATCTCAAAAATAAATAAAAATCGATGAGAAGAATGTGAAAGAGAACATACTTATTGTCTTTTTATCAATAAAAAGAATTTCAAAATTCTTGTTTTTTAAATTCTGTTGGATGATTTATATAGAAAAAACGGTAAATAAAAATGTATTTTGAGATTAATTATTTATGTAATTGCAAGTTTCAAAATTAAAATATTTTATTTTGAAAAGTAAAATTCACGATTATTCTAAATTTGTATATCTAAAATGAATTCTTAATAATATTAATCATATTGAAAAATTCAAATTTCATCTTGACATAAATTTAAGATATGAACAAGATTCCACGAAAAGATATTGTCTTATTGATACAAATTTTATTAGTCAATATTGTATGGCTGATACATGGAGAAATTTGATTGATTTTAATTTTTATATTATATCGAAATATCCATTACTATTGAATAATATTCCAACAATAGAAAACTCATTTAAAAATCGTAAATTTTTTATTAAGTATGGTTGGATAAATGTAGAATGCTTCTTTAGTTCAATAATGTCATATCAACATATATCATCAATTAGAATAATCAAACCTAATTTGTTTTTGATGGTATTACGTAAGAAGATTGTTTTATGATAAAACAGAATTTATTTTTATTTTCTACAGATTATCCAAGTATTTTTGATTGGCAATGATATATTTCTCAAACAGTTTCATATTATATAACTTGTATTCAATTTAATATGGGTAGGCATTTAGTTAAATTTAATAATCAAATAAAAATTTTATGAAATTAAAGAAAAAGAAATTTCGTATCGGTCAAATTGTTCTTTATCGTTAATAATATTGATTTGTTTTATCCATTAGATTATGCCAATTAATTGAATAATATCATTTTCTTTTTATAGTACAAGAAAAATTTGTTACTAAATCTGAGTATACCATCTTTTTACAATCATCATTGAATGTGTTACAATGAAAACTGACCGATATTCATCTTCAATATGTTACAAGACTTGGTCTTGGATCTCACTTTTGTCGTATTTCTGGTAAATTTTCATTTTTTCTTCTTTCATAATATTTGATAAGACGATTAAATAAGTGTTTGTTTTGTTTTAATCACTAGTATTAAATAACTTCTGTGAACTTAATTTATCCAGTTTTGTGAACATTTATGCGAATTTCTTAGTCTGTTTAAATAGACAACTAAAACAAAATATGGATTTTGTTTCTCTATGAGCAAAAAAATAAGATATTTTCTTTATTATTAGCATAAAATAATAACTATATAAGTTTAGTATTGATTTTACCAAACATATATCATTGGATACTGGAACTAATCGATCTCCATCTCATACATAAGATTCCATAGTTAACACGAGAGATTATCTTCCCATGAACTTTGAAAATAAATGAAATGACAATTCAAATGATAAAACTGACATTAAAATTGAAATGTTTAAGTATAAATGTTCTTGTTATTAGACAAACCTCTATGTTTTCAGTGCTTTTGAACTAAAAGTCAAGGATTTTCTTTTCATGTTTTAAACGCCTAAATTAAGTCGAACCGGTGAAGAAAAATTCTTGAGTAGGATTAAATCAAGAAAACAAAACATTGATGGTTTTTTTAGTTGATATATATATATATAGTTATATCAATCGTGTTGATATAGATTCACTCGAATTATTCAATTATTTCTCCTTATATAAATAAAACTTATTTTGACACTTCGTAACAGTTAATTCAGTTTAGGACAAGGAATATACGAAGAATGGGGTTGACAGGAACGATTTTGCCAACGTTAGTGTTCAAATATGATAAAAAGTACGAACATTAGATAAGCAAATATGTTTTTCTAATCTTCTAGTTCTGCTATCACGCTTCGGTAGAGATGAAAGACTTTCAAAAATTTGTGCCATTAAAAAATAAATATTTGTTCTTTGTAGAAATCAGTGTTTTGAGAGAATTTGAAATTAAGGCCTTCTACCTCCCTTCAGCATTGTCCAAGAACTGAGAAAGAAGAATTTCCAATCTATAGAGAAATTGTTAACGGCGCTATGATAATTTCTCGTGAAATGAGAATTGGCCATTAGTCTCATTCATAACAATCAAAATTATAACTTTGCTGCAATCGTTTTCATACTCACATATGGACGTGACCAATAAAAATATGCCCTAATTTGTATTCTTTCTATTATCAGTTAAAAAGTCTAACCATATTCAGGTGAAATTATCACCCTCATCGCTAAACTATTAAGGGTGTGGGTGTGGATGAGGGTGTGGGTAAGGGGGTGTGGGACGTGGCTGTGACTGTGGGTGTCTAGGTTTGGGTGTGGCTGGGGTGGGTGTGGGTGTGGATATAGGTGTGGAGTGTGGATGTTCGACGCGAAAGAAGACGAACTCCGACATCCACACGCCACTCCACCCATATCCACATCCCAATCCCATCCACACCCACCCCGACACCCACATCCTACACCCACAACCACACCCACACGCCTACACCCACCTACACCGACACCCACCCACACCCCAGACCCACACCTCACACCAACCCACACCCACACCCACATCTACACTCCGCGTCCACACCCTTGTCCACTTGGTTGACCTATCAAATCTAATATGGACAGATGATTCCCGATGTCCTCTTTCGAATACCAAAAGCCGCAGATGTGTAGCTGTCTTGATTCCTGGGTTATGTAGCTGACACTCATCTCTCTTTGCTTTTGACACTGGTAAGAATTGCTTCAGTAACGGGGACTGATGGTGTTATGAGTGTCTCTAACCAGTTCGTCGAGTAAAATTTTGTTTTCATTTTAATCTATATTGATGCAAAATTTCACGAGCTTTTCGAGTGTATCATCAGATTTGTGTAATATCACCAATGGGCAGAGAGAGAGAGCCCGAATAGTCTCCAAATTTTATTATGATCATGGCTGTATTATAATTACATTTCAGCATCTGCTGACGCGTAACATAGTAAAGCGTTCGATGCAGTTTTTAATGTTCTATCGATTGGTGAATTTCACGCCAAAAATGGTGGAGAAATGACTGAAATACATGAAAAATACCAAACGTGTCCGTTTTTTGCTTATTTTGTCATAGACGTGTATGAGGCTAAAATGTTATCTATGATATCTTGGTTCAGGTTAGCTTTCAAGAGCTGATTTTTTTGACCCATGCGCCAACTCTTTATAGGTCTTCCAATGCAATATACAAGATCAAAATCAAAATTTTTCCGACGACCAGCTATGCCATTCTTATTTGGTTAAGAAAAAGGGCCGCTGTCAATTGTTGAACCACATAGCCTTTAAGAGTGAAGAACAATTTTATTTTTGTGAACACCAATCTTTGTGTTTTTTAACATCTCGTTTTTAGAATGTAACACACAAATTATCCATTGTGACATGACTCGCATCACATGAACCACAACTCGAGTTGAAATTTATGCTATCGATGCCAGACCAGTTGAGTTCAACAAAGGTTCTCTTTTCTGTAAATAGTTCTACTTTTTTCGTATACAAAACAGTGCCTGATCTTGTACCGATCATTGTCAATACAGTGTTATCATGCCAAGCTGCGCATGAATAAAACGAATTTATTGTAAATGTACTGGTAGCCATATTTGTGATAGCCATTGGATTACCATACCCATTAAAGACAAGATATGGAGAACTAACAACACCCGTTGTATAGCCAGTATTAGGAGTAAAATAGTTTACACCATTCACAACCAGAACATTTTGCCAATTTAAACGATTATAGCCGCTTGGCACTGGGATTCCTGATATACTCGTTGTAGTTATTATATCATCAAAAGTTATTAATGAGCTTTGTGCTGGACAGGCTAGAAAAGAAAAATATAAACATAAATTATTTCTATCTTTTCATTTTCTAAGTTTAGTGCGTAATGGTGTCAGAAGAGCTTTTTGACTTTTGTGTGAGACTTACAGCAGCAATAATGCGAAGCTTATTCACTATGCTAGGAAGCAATTGCGCAAAACAATTGAAATAAAATAGATTGATACATTTTGCTTATACAAAGAAACATTATAGGTTGCAAAACACAATAACATGCGAAAGGTGGCCCATAGATAATTTTACCATAAAAAAATTGAATATTTCTACTTTTTTAAAATTATGCTCGTAAATGTAACACCAAGAAATGCTTAGATGATAATATAAGGAGAAATTATGATATTTAAGCTCGCCACCAATATCATTATACAGAGCATTGAATTTGCTTGTGTGGATGTAAAAGAGTAAATACAAAGACAAAAAGAAAAAAACAAAACAAAACAAGAAAACATAAAAAAATTCAGAATTTGAGAAGAAGCAAGTAAACTAAAGAGAGAAAAGAAAAAGAAGCGAAGGAGGACGTTTGTAAGTGTTTCAAGGACAGAAAAAAGGGAAAGGGAGAAGCAAAAGAGAAGAAAGAATGAATGAGAGAAGGATTCTGCATGCTCTTTTTTTTTGTACACAACTACTTTATTTCAATAAATAATATTCATTTTC